CTCTTCATAAAAGCAAATTTATAAATTAATATTTGATAATTAATATATTTATTTATTAATTAAAATCCATAAATTACAACTCAATATTTTTGAAAAAAAAAATAAATAATGTAATAGATTAAATAATACAACAAATTAGAAGAAGTAATTATTTATTTTTTATATTAATATCATTTAAATTTTTTTTATTAATAAAAAAGTTTTTAAACTCTTCACTTTAATCTCATTAGGTTCTCGTTATTGATCTAAAGTATATTTAAATAAAAATATTAAAAATTTTTTTTATTTTAACTTTAAATTTATTTTAAAAAATAATTTTTATAATAGAAATTCTCACATTTATTCATTGATTTCTATTTATACAAAAATTTTCGCTATTTCAACTTAATTTTGATTTCAATTTTGAATTATTTATTATTCATTTTTTATTATTTGATATTTTTTTCTTCATTTTTTGCTATTAACACTTACACTTAATAAAAACAATTTTTTATTTTGGATTGTAATATTTTTAATTATAAAAATTAATTTAAAACATAAAAGCTCTTTTAATTTATTTGATTTCTTTTTTGTTTTCTTTTTATTGTGCTTGCTTAATTTTTTTTCTTTCTTTATTAGTTTAACTAATTATTAATTAAATTAATCTTATTTTTTCCTTCTAATTAACTAATAAATTATATATTTTCTATTTAATAAAAAGAAACAAACAAATTAGTGCGAAAGGTGCATCAGGCTTAGGTTCTGCTTTAGCAAAGTGCATTAATCTCTCAAACTTGACACTTAAGCTTAGGTAAAAACAGTTTATTTATTTTAAATTGTGATATTTTTAATTATAAAATGAATTTTAATTAATAAAGCTCTATTTTCCTTTTCTTTTTATTATGCTTGCTAGCTTTTATTTCTTCTTTCTTTGTTAATTTAGCTCATCATTTTATTTATTTTTAACTTTTGCTTTTATTTTTCATTAATCTTATTATTTAATATTTTTTCTTCCTTTGTTCCTTCTAAATAACTAATTAATTAATTATTTATTTTTTCTTCCATATTTAAAAAGTTACAATTAAATTGGTGATGAAGGTATATCAGGCTTAGGTTCCGCTTTAGCAAAGTGCATTAATCTCTCAAATTTGACACTTTATCTTCTGTAAAAACAGTTTATTTATTTTAAATTGTGATATTTTTAATTATAAAACGAATTTTAATTAAT